CATGCTAAGGTCAGCATTCCTGTCCACTGACCTCTATATCCACCCCCCCCCCCCCCACCCAGGTCAGATTTTGTGTAAGAAAAAGGTTTTCCCAGCCTCCGCTGGCACATGGCGAATCCAGAGGACATGAAGGCCCGGGAAGAACGTGGGTCTCCCGAGGTCGGGTCAGGGCCTTGGGGTGCAAGCTCGGAGCCCTGTGCCCTCAGAGTGGAGGGGATACTGGCGAGCTCTTGGCTCTCAGACCACCCCCACCTGTGTCTGGGGCCTACTGCCGGTGGGCCAGCCTGAGTCTGGCGGTCGCCAGCATCTTGAACCTCACAGCCTCCGCCCGACCGCCTCTGGGCTGGCCCCGGAGGCAAGGCCTGGGGCGTCGTGGCAAGAGCCTAGGAATGGAGGTGGGGCGGGCGGTGCCCCCTTTCTCCATCTCCTGGGTATCTGCCCACTCACGTTGGCACACAGGAGGCTGAGGGTGGAAACTCAGTCACGAGTGAGGGAACATGGGTGAAGGGTCCGGCGCGGAGGTGGCAGGTGACATGGAAGTTTCTGGAAGGGCGCCCGGAGAGGCCGGTGTGCAGAGGTCAGCGGCAGATGGTGTGTGGGGACCAGCTGGCTTTGGGGAGTAACTGGAGTGCCATGTAACTGGAGCCTTGGTCTCCCCCGTGTAGCGGGCACCCGGGGGACTGGCCGGCAGTCATGGGTTCGACGAGGCCCAGGTGGGCAGCTGGTTCTCGTAGCTAAGCTGTTCTCCCCTACACACTGGGGTGACCCCCGGTCAGCTGCTCCCCAGCCCAGAGCGTTTCCTTGCTGTCCCTGCCCGCGGCTGTTTCCGCTTAGCCGTAGAGTCTGGGCTGCAGCACCTGATCTCCTGAGACCTCTGTTCCTGCGTCCTGCGGGAACTCAGCAACACAGACACAAGAATCCCCTTGGCCGGGCCCGGAGCATGACACAGTGGGCAGGGAACTATCTTGCATGTGGCCGGCCTGGGTTCAGTCCCCATAGGGTCCCCCGAGCACTGCCAGGAGGGAGCCCTGAGCACCACCAGGTGTGGCCCCCAAACAGAAACAGGGTGACCTTGGCCCTCAGTGAGTAGGCACAGGTCTTGCGCGTGGCCAACCCGGGCTCCAGCCCAGCACCCCATTGCCAGGAGTGATCCCTGAGTACAGAGCCAGGAGGAAGGCCTGAATACATTAAACCCACAAGACAAGGCCCTTGGATACTGGGGTTCAGTGTCTCAAGTTACTTGGGGCCATGGTGTTGGTTTCGAAAGAGGAACTTTGAAAAGTGGGGGGGGTTGAAGGAAGGAAGTGGGTGGGGCAGTTGGTAGCGGGGACCCCTTGGCAGTCAATTTCAGGAAACTGTAAAACCAAGGAATGTCTGCAGAGACCAGAATCGGAACTGCAGAGCTGTCCCGGCTTGCTCCGGACGGGAAGGCCAGTCCCTGGGGAGCATTTCTGGCTGGACAAGGGCCCCTCAGGGACTCAGAACTAAGAGACCATCAGAGGGACAAGCCCTTTCCATGGCCAGTATCCTAGTGATGACGCCTTTTTAGGGGGGCGTGGGGAATGGAGGCTGGGTTCGGGGCCACACCCAGAGATGCTCAGGGCTGACTCCTGGCTCTGCACTCAGGGATCACTCCTGGGGGGGGCTCAGGGGAGGGCCCTGTGGGGTACCAGGAATAAAGCTGGATCTGCAAGGCAAGCGCCCTTCCCACTGTCCTGTCTCTCTGGCTCCTGTATTTTTGTTATTTTGTGTTTGGCTTTTGGGCTGTTCATGGCTCTGTGCTCCGGGATCCCTCTTGGGGTGCTGGAGACGGAACCCCGCTGGGCTGCGTGCAAGGAGGGGGCAGCCCCGCCCTGACGTGACCCCCCCCTCCCGGGTCCTGTGTGCCCCGCATTCCCTCCTCTGGGTTAGCTTTTGTAGCCAGCGGCTAATCTCACAAGTAAACAGTGTCGCTGAGCTCCACCAGCTGCTTTAGCAAACGGACCCACCCGAGGAGGGGCCGTGGGAAAACCCGCCTGTCTGCAGCTGTGGGCTGAGGGGCTCAGGTGGGGGTCAGACTGCAGCAGGCCGGTGGGGGGGTATTCCTTTGAGGCAGGAAGGCCTGGAACTGGCATGTTGGACCCCGCTGGTGTCACAGGCCTCCTGGCCGTGCCCCCCCGCCCCCACTTCCTCCCGTTAAGTGGCCCTGTGCTCAGGAGCGCCCCCTGCTGGTGCTCGAGGACTCATACGGGGTGCCAGGGGTTGTACCAGGGTGAGCTGTGTGCAAGACCAACTCCTGAATGATTGCTCCAGCCACTCACTGACTTAGTTTGTTGGTTTTGGGGCCCCATCTGGCAGTGGTCAGGGCTTACTCCTGGCTCCGTGCCCGGGAATCTCCCCTGGGGGGCTCAGGGCCCCCTATGGGTTGCCAGGGATAGAACTCAGGTTGCTCGCGTGCAAGGCAAGCACCCCATCTGCTGTCCTGTCCCGCTGACTTTTGTTTTTTAGGCCACACCTGGCGATGCTCCGGGGTTCCTCCTGGCTCTGCACTCAGGAATTTTACTCCTGGCGGTGGTCGTGGGACCTATGGGGAGCCAGATCGAACCCTGGCTGGCTGCATGCCAGGCAAATACCCTCCCCGCTGTGCTGTCACTCTGGCCCGTCGCTGACTTTTGAAAGAGGAAGTGGGGGCTCCACCCCAAGTGCTCATCTCCCTGGCAGCCGGGTCGGACCCCCGGAGCTGGATTAGCACTGGGCTTTGGCCTGATGTTGCAGCTAGTGACAGGAGAACGAAGGCCCCGGCCTCGGAGATGTCCGGCTTCCACAGCTGACGGCAGCCGCGCGCGCCCTTCATTCTTGGCCCAATGCTGCTGATGGGTTGAAACCGGCACACTTGCTTGCCAGGCGGGGGATGTCTGGGGGAGTGGGGGGTGGGGGAATGGGTTTCCTTGGCAGGCGTCCACTCTGCCTGGGTCTGCCCCGTCCACCAGCACCAGCCGCGTCCGGGAGCAGCATTTTAAAAAGCGTGTTTGGTTCCGGCTTTGAAGAAATCAAAACGGAACAGCAGCCCCCCACCCCCGCGCGGTAATGACCTGCCGCCTTTCCCAGGCTGGGGGGACCCTCGCCATGCCAGGTCGCCCCTGGCGAGGCCATGTTCGGTCGAGGCTGTGTGTGCAGGGAGGGGGGGGAGCCTTGGTTTCTCTACTGCGCGGTGGGGGCGGGGAAGGTCAGGGGCAGCATTCCTGGAGGCCAGCCCGCCCCCTCTGTCCTGGCTGGCATTGCAGCAAGGGCCATGGGGCACGCATGTGTGGGTCCCCACGCCCCTCGCTGGGAATTAATCAGCTTCGCGAGGGCCAGTGGAGGCAGCTGCTGGCTGTCTCGGGGCGCTCTGCCCTGGGCCACTCAGAGCACGTTGGGAAGGGGTGCGGCTGCAGTGACCCCCCCCACCCCCAGCCCATCGGGCTGCCAAGTGCTGGTCGCTGGACGCTTCTGTAGGCCTGGGGAGATGTCTGCCAGCTGTGCCCACCTGGGATCCCTGGGAGCCACGGGGCCCAGGAGACTCCGAGGCCCTGCCCGCTCCCACGCCCTGGGGGCTGGGGTCTCTTCTCAGCCAGTCCAGCTGTCCTGTCCTGTCTGTATTTACATCCATCCCCACGCAGCCCCAGGGCTCTGGTACACGCAGGCAGCCCCGCTGGGCTGGAGGGCTGGGGCGGCCTCTAGTGGTGGGTGCGGGAACTGCCGCTGGGGGCCGACCCCACCCCCCACCCCGACCCCTCCCAAAGGTTCGAAGGCCCTTCACCGAGGGGGCCACGATGGGGCGTGCAGTGCTTTTTGGGGTGCCCAGCAGCCTCCTGTGACCTCACATCCAGGTTCCCTTGGTCAGCAAAGGTGCTGGAGCCTAAGGGGCACACCAGCAGGAGGGCACAGGATGGACAGGCTGTCGGGCACCCAGGGGTCACTGGGCAGATGAGGGTGAGGAGAGAGGGGCCTCGGGCATAGGGAACGGAACAATGTGACTGCTGTGGGCTGGAGGCTCATACCTGAGGCTCAGAGACCAAAGCTGCTGTGCTCAGGCGGACCAGGAGTCGGCTATCTGCAGATCCCAGGGCCCCAAGGGGGGGGCCCCCCTGCCTCTTTGATCTTTACCACTGGATTATACCAGATTATACTGGAAACCGAGCCAGATCTCCCCTTGCCACGCCTGTCTGCTGGGGTAGGTGGCCTTGGATGGTCCCTCTCGGTCAGTGCTTGGGCTGTGTGTGTGTGTGTGTGTGTGTGTGTGTGTGTGTGTGAGAGAGAGAGAGAGAGAGAGAGAGAGAGAGAGAGAGAGAGAGAGAGAGAGAGAGACCATCTCCTGCTGCCCCACCCAGGGACCCTATTTTTATTACTTTGTTTTAGTTTTAGGGCCACACCCAGAGGTGCTCAGGGATCACTCCTGGCAGGGCTTGAGGGTCCTGGGTCTACCATGTGCAGGGTGAGCGCCCTCCCCAGTTCACACGTGAGGTGTGCTGCCCAGGGGGATGCCAGCGTGTCAGGACGGACAGACAGATGGACAGAGTCTGTTACCCCCACCCCCTCACCATGGGATCTCACAAGGCGTAGGGGAGCTTCCCCCGTCAGGGTGACAAGCAAGAGGACAAGGTGCAAACTAACAAGCTGGGTCTGTGTCCGCGTTTACTTTCTCGGAGCTGTAAACACAGGCCCCAGCTCCAGCTCCCCCCAAAGCCACCTCCCCTTTACCCAGGAAAGAATGTGATGTGGGGGGCGGGGCGCCCGCGCCCAGCCTGTTCCTGCCCTCCTGGGCCGTGTTTCTCCCCCTGGGAGTCTCGGACACGACCCGATGTCTCTGCTGGGCCAGGGGAGGGGCCTCTAGTGTGATTCCATCCCAAACCCAGAGAGGGACCCCTCTCCGTTCCTGCCCCTGGAGGCAAAGGGCCACAGATGGGGTCGGGCCTGGCCCCGCCTTGCCGTGACACCCATCAGCCCTTGGGTTCCTGCTCAGGCTGCCCCTGTGGTGTCCACGGGTGCTGGGGCTTGAACCTGGGCCTCCCATGCAAAGCCCAGGGCGCCGTCCCTCACCTTCCCTCGGTTTTCAAATGGGCAGTGGCGGGGGGATCCCGGCCACCCAACCTGAAAACCCCAAACCTCAGGCAGGGGCTAAGTGGCGAGTCGGTCTGGGGTCCCGGAAGTCACCTCCTCCTGCGGGGACACGCCTCCAGCCGGCCCAGCTCCTCATAGGAGCTGTAGAAAATGGCAAAGTCCCTGCTACCCCAGCCCCTCCAGACAGCCAGGATCCACTCGGAGCTCTCGTCCTGGAAGCCGCACACCACCATGTCTTTAGCCACGACGGCCGCATCCACCAGCGCCCTGTGGAGGGAGGGTTGAGGGGACGCCTGTCCTTCTGGGTGGACAGCACCAGGCCTGATCCCCTCCTGGGATGGGCCACTGGGGCCACGGATGCTGGCCCGCAGGACTGCCTGTCTGTTGTCTGTGCCCCAAACACTCTGGACCCGCTAGTGGCCCTGGGCTAAGTGGACACTCTGCAACTCACAGGTTACTGCATTTCTCTGCAGACTTTCACACTAGGTTCCTTTGGGCGGGGGGGCTTGTTTCCTTCTGGGATCACTCCTGGTGATGCTCAGGGATTACCCTAGCAGGGCGTGGCGGGCAGGCATACGTGCAGGGGAAAGAGTCTAGGTCAGCTGTGTGCAAGGCAAGTGCCCACATGCACCTGTTTTTTTTTTTTAAATTTTCTTTTTGGGTCACACCTGGTGATGCTCAGGGGATACTCCTGGCTCCTGCACTCAGAAATTACTCCTGGAAGTGCTCAGGGGGACCATATGGGATGCTAAAATCGAACCCGGGTCAGCCGTGTGCAAGGCAAATGCCCTACCCACTGTACTATCACTCCAGACCCGCAACTGGTTTTTATGACCCGCACAATTCAGAAATAAACTCGCGGCAGTTACGCAGTGATGGGTGGCAGACAGGCTGAGGCCAGTAAGCCCCAAACGTCTCCCATTTTGGAGGGAGGCTGGGGTGCTTTAGCATGACCCCTGCACGCCACGCTCCTCCACCGCTCCGCCACCCCTTAGGGCTCTGTCTGGGCCCTGCAGCCTGGCATGGAGGCCATGCAGGCACCCGAGGGCCCTGCCTGTCGCCCCCAGCCCCAGGCTGCACCCACAATCTCAGCCTGGGCTTGGCAGTGAATCCCAGCTGCGTCTCTAGGATCACTTGTATGGCTGGACCTGGGGTAGGGGTCCCACCTGGGGTGGCAGGAGGTCACCCCAGAGCTGGTCCTCCCCCCGGTCCCACTTCCACCACAGCTCTGCTGTGTCTTCGGGAGCACGGGGACTCCCAGAAAGCAGGAGCTGGTGCCCAGCTTTGGCTGAGTCTGGGGGACCCTGCCCATCCCCACCAGACCCTGTGGGTGTCCCCAGTCTTACCCACAAGAGGTCAGCTCGCGAGCTTTCAGGACGGCGATGACTCGGCCCCGCTGGCCCCCGGCCTCCTTCTCCAGGCCAATGACGAGGATGTCACCCCCACGCCTGGGAAAAGAGTGTGTGAGACCCAGGACCTGTGCGGCATGGCGGGGTGTGTCTCCTTCCCCCCCCTCCCCGACAGGCCCTGCGGGAAGCAAGAGGACAGCAGGCAGAGCACAGGAAGGGATCCGTGGGCAGCTGACCTGGGCACCCAGATGAGGTCCTTCACGGGCAGGACCCGGGTGGCCTGCAGATGCTGGCTGACCGCCTCCCCGTCCACTGGCAGCAGGTCGTGTTCAGGCTGTTCCGAGCCACCCACTGGCTCCTGCAGCCCCTCTGGGTGGCCTCCACTGGCCAGACTGCAGGGGGGGCTGGGGGTGTGGTGGGGAGGGGACGAGGAGCAGGACGACACGGAACAGTAGTCGGTGAGCGAGTCCTGGTGGCTGAGGATCTGCGTGCCGCGCTCCTCACTGTACAGGATGCTCACGCCCGCCATGCGTCCCCCCTCCGGCTCCGGCAGCTGGGCGGCCGGGCTGTGGGGGCGCTGGGGGCCAACTAGGGGGCGCACGGGAAACGTGTCCCTGAGCGGGCTGGGGTCCCCGCAGAAGTAGCGGGCGCACAGCTGGTAGCTGGTAGCGTGGTACATGACCAGGCAGTTGGTCCTGTCATCCAGGCACCAGACCACCTCCTCGCCACGGCACTCGGAGCTGCAGGCCAGCGCCACGACGGCCGAGGGCGCGGTGAAGGGCTCCAGCCGCCGGCGGATGTCCAGGGCAGCACAGTCCACCACCAGCAGGCCGGGCCCATTGCTGTACCACACCTCAGTGCCACTGTTGACCACCTCCATGGCCATCACGGGATAGGGGTTCTGCCGCGGGTCGTCATCTGTGATGCCGAACTTGGCCCGGTTGGCGGTGTGCGAGCACAGGTAGGAGCAGCTGTCCTGGGGGGCGCCGCGGGCCACGGGGAACACGGCCACGAGCCCGTCGGCCAGGCCTGCCAGCACCAGGTAGGAATTCTGGGGCGGGGGGGAGGACAGACGGGGCGTCTGAGCCAGTGGCTCCCAACAGCATCTCAGACAGAGACTGGGACACGGCCACCAGTAGGGTCCCGCCTGCATCCCCGTCACCGGGTTCTTGCAACCCCCACCCCAGGAGTCCCACCTCCAAGGCTGGCTGGCGCCAGGCTGTTGGGGCCCACCAAGGTGTAACCCCAATTACACCCTTCTACAACCCCCTTCTCTGCTCCCCGCCTTGGGGGAGAATCAGCCCCTGCAGTGCCCTCATCCACTGAACTTTTTTTTCTTTTTGGGTCACACTTGGCAATGCACAGAGGTTACTCCTGGCTCTGCACTCAGGAATTACTCCTGCTGGTGGTGCTCGGGGGGACCATATGGGATGCTGAGAATAGAACCTGGGTTGGCCGCGCACAAGGCAAACGCCCTACCCACTGTGGTATCACTCCAGCCCCGAAATTTTTGTTTATGGGCCACATCTGGTGGTGCTCAGGGCTGACTCCTGGCTCTGCACTAAGAAATCACTCCTGGCGGTGCTCGGGGATCGAACCCAGATCTGCCACGTGCCAGGTCAGCGCCCGCCCCACGTGCGGTGTCTTCGGCCCTCTCACCTTTTTGATCACGGGCACTGCCAGGAAGCAGGTGACGACGGCCGGGGTGTCCAGAGCGCGTTGGGGCGTGTTCAGAGGACACATGCCCTTCAGGCTGTAGATATAGATTTTCTGGTCCTGCAGAGCAGAGTGAGCGATGGGTGCTGCCCATGGCTTCCTACAGGGGGCGCCGTAAGCACCCAGAAGTCGGAGCAGGCAGGTGCTCGCCTGCTTTCCAGGCCTGTTCTTCCTATAGAATCCTTGAAAATTGCCCCAACCCAGAGGAAACCAGTGGTGGGGTCTGGACAGCCTTTCTGCATTCTGGGATTTTTTTTCTCTTTTGCTTTGGAGGGGGCCACACTCCGTAGTACTCAGGGCTGACTTCTAGCTCTGCACTCAGGGTTTGCTCTTGGTGGGGCTCGGGGATTGGAATCGGGGCTCTGCATCTCTCTGACCTGCTCCTCTTGTAACTTTTTTGGGGGGAGAGGTTGGGCCCGGCCGCACTCTCCCTCTGGTCCCGCCCACCCCCACCCCCCCGGATTTTTTCTCCCATCCTCTGCCCACCCCCAGGGGGCCCTGGCAGCGCCCACCTCCGTGGCCGTCCACAGCGAGGCCTGGACCTTGATCTGACAGCTCAGCTTCATGCCTGCACAGCTCATGTGCTGCACCTCCAGGACCCCTTTCTCCATGTTCGCGACCGTGTAGTTTCTGCGACAGCCACAGTGGGAGGTGAGTTCGTGTGGGGGTTGTGGGGGCGCCCCCTTCATGAGGGTGCCCCAGGGCTGGCTTTGGGTGTCTCTGAATGTCACAGTCAGAGTCAGATCCTCTTTAAGTTTTAGGGATCCCTCCTGGCGAGCTCCGGGGACCAAAACTGGGTCAGCCATGAGTAAGGCCAACTCTCCCCGCTGTCCTCTTCGTCCAGCCCTTGCCCTCTTAACGCTTTTAGGGTTCTGTGCTCAGGACTGACCCTCTGGCAGGCACCGGCATCTCACCCCCATGTGCTCTCCCCCTTCCCTCTTTTTTCCGCTCCTCATGGATTTGTGCTGCAGAAAATTGGGGCCCAGAATCCTTGCATGGAGGCGGTATGTGCCCTACAGCCCTGAAGCAGAGCTCGGGCCATGCGAGGTGGGGGGGGGGGGGACCTGGCCTCATGCATGTCAGACCCTAGCCCCTTTGAACTTGCCCTGTGCAGACCCCTCCCTGGGCCAGGAGGCGATCTGGGGTGCCCCATGGCAGAGAAGACAGGAGCTCAGCCCCCTACACTCCCAGGTGGCAGGGGCACAGGGAAGAGAGTCACGAGCCATAGACTCCTCGAATATGATGCTGGTGTCAACATGACGGAGCTGTGGGCCCCTGGGTGCAGAGCCACAAGTAACCCTTGAGCATGGCCACCAAAATAAAAAAATATATCTAACATAAAACCCAAAGATGCACCTTTTGAGACAGAGGGGTGAGACGTGGATGGGACTGGGTGAGTGACCCCCTCTCCCAAGCATGCACCCCACATCTTCCTCTGGGTGAGCTCCCTGCTGTCCTCCTGACCCCTCCCACCGTGGTCACCCCCCTCAGACCCAGTGGGCGGTCACCTGGACTCTTCCTTGCCATCCCAGAAGACCACCATGTACTCCTGGCCTGGGGAGCAGAAGAAAGCAGTCTGCCTGCCGCAGGGCAGCTGGTACATGAACGTGGCGAAGGTGGGATCCTTCATCTGGCTGACCACAGACAGGGCCAGCGGGCGCTGCGGGAGAGGGGGCAGGGCTGGGAGCAGCGGCCGGGCCACACCGACCAGGCACCGAGGGATCAGAAGGCATGCGGCCTCGGAGCCAGACAGAAGCCAGGTACCTTCTTGGGTTTGGTGTCCCAGCACTCGGTCATGAGCGCCTGCAGCCGCTGGCTCTGCACCTCCTCGGGCCGCCCCAGTGCCGGCCGGATGCCCTTGGCCAGCTTCTTGGCGATCTGCAGCTGATGGTGACCCAGTGCGGGCCGCTGTCCTGACAGCAGCTCGTAGAGGACCATCCCATAGGAGAACATGTCCACCTGGAGGGGGGCAGCGAGTCAGGAGACAGCGAGGGACAGCGCATCTGCCCAGTAGGGGCATACCGACCTCGTGTCCGTCTCCCTCCTCCTCACCCTCCCTCTGCTCTTCCCAATCACCATCTAAATTTCTTCTTCCTGCATCCACCCACCCACTGCTTCTGTCTGATCACCCACCCATCTACTCCCTCTCCCACGCATGCATCCACCCATCAGCTGCTTCCAATAACCCATTCACCTACACAATCATCCACCCACCCACCCATCATCCATCCATCCCATCCATCTGCCCACACACCCATCCATCCACCCTAGCCACCTACCCACCCACCCACCTACCCATCATCCAAACATTCTAGCCACCTCCCCACCCACCCATCTACTCATCATCCATCCATCCTAGCCATCTATCCACCCACCCACCTACCCATCACCCACCCACCCTAGCCACCTACCCACTCACCCATCCACCCTACCACCCGCCCTTCCATCCACCAGTAACCCACCCATCCCACTGCATATTATTTTTCTATCCTCCACCCACCCAATAACCCACCCACATCCATCCAGTAGCCCAGCTAGCCCATCATCCCTCATCCATCCATCCAAATGTGTATTATCTCTCTGTTCTCTTACCCATCCACCTACTAATTTATCATCTGCACTTCCCTCTGTCCCTCCCTAAAACATTCCCGAGCCTCCATACCATCTCTCTGGGCCTTTTTGAGGGGGATGAGGATTACCAAGAAGTGGTCTGGGGCTCAGGGCACCCTCACAGTTATTCTCGACCAGCCAGGCCCGTGGGTCACTCCTGCCCCTCTACACAGCAGCGCTGGGACCCACGTCCCGACCCATTTCTCCCATGAAGTCTGTCCTGAGTCCAGGTGTGCAATTCAGAAGAAGCGACCCTGGTAACTGCCTGCAGGTGCCCTTCCAGTTTCCACCTAAGCCCCTGGCAGACCTGGGAGAAGAAGGGGGAGGGGTTGCGGGTGTGGGTGGCACCTTCTCGTCATAGACAATGCGAGGTCGGATCTCAGGGGCCTGGTACCCAGGTGTGCCCTCCACGCCGAGCGCGCCCTCGTGGAAGGACTGTCGAGAGATGCCATAGTCCGACAGCTTGATGTTCACCAGCTCGGCCACGTCCAGGGACCACACCAGGATGTTGTCAGACTTCAGGTCACAGAAAATGATGTTTTTTTTGTGCAGGTAAGCCAGGCCAGAGACGATCTGGTAGGCGATTTTGTGGGTGAGCATGTGCCCCAGAGGCATGAAGGAAGAATCTGGGCAAAAAGATTTAAACAGAAAAACACAAATCCAATGTCCAAGGTGACTGACCATTTTCTTCCTTTGTTTTCTTTTTCAAACTTTCTGTTTTGTTTTGGGGCCACACCCAGCTGTATCCAGATGCTTTTCCTGGCTCTGTGCTCAGGGATGACTCTTGGCAAGACTCAGGGGGTGCTGGAGATCAAGTTGGGTGGGGCATGTGCAAGACGAGTGCCCTCCCTGGTGTCCTATTGCTCCAGCCCAAAACATGTACATTTAAAAAAATCTTTGTTGTTTTGGGGGCTACACCTGGCGATCTTCATGCGTACTTCTGGCTCTGCATTCAGGAATCACTCCTAGCAGGCTTGGGGGACCACATGGGGTGTCGGGGATCAAACCTGGGTCAGCTGCGTGCACAGCAATTGTCCTACCCGATGTCCTATCGCTCTGGCCCTGTTTTCTTTTCTTTTGCCTTTTTGCATTTGGCCTACACCCAGCGCTAGGGACAACTCTTGGCCCAGTTCTTGGGGAGACCATGCGGTGTCAGGGATGGAACCCGAGCTTCCTGCATGCGCTATCGTTCCTTCTTCTGTCTTCCTTACTCTCCTCTCCCCAAAATACTTTATATTCTACAAGCACATCCTCAATGCTCCCAGCATTCTTCTTGCTGGATGCCAGAGGCAGCCAGGAAAGGTCTTTATCTGGGCTATTATTCAGCCTAGGAATGCTTAGCATGATAATTTCACTTCCCGGCTGGAGGACAGAGGATGGGTGTCTAAAAGAGGAAGACTCAGAGTCCCTGGAGGCTTGTCACAGCCACTGGACAAAGGATGAGCTGCAAGGTATAAACAAGGAAGATTACATTTAAAGAAAAATACTGAGGCCAGAGGGCTAAGGCCTTGCTTTGCATGGTTTAATTCCTAGCACCCACCACACAGGTGGTCCCCAAGCACCATCATGAGTGATCCCAGAGTACAGAATCAGGAGTAAGCCCCGAATACTACTGGGTGTGGCCTCAAATTATATATCAATCACTGTATCACTGTCCTCTCGTTGTTCATCGATTTACTCGAGTGGGCACCAGTAATGTCTCCATTCATCCCAGCCCTGAGATTTTAGCAGCCTCTCTTTACTCATCTTTCCCAACAATTGGAGGCTCATTTTATATATGTGTCAAGCACAGAAAGATAGGTGAGGTGCAAGCTTTGCGTGTGACCAATCCTAGTTCAATCTCTGACATCACATGGTCCCCCCCAGCACCCTGGGTGCATCTCTGGAAGCTACAGTGCCCTACCGGTGTCTCAGATATCCCTCAGCAGAACGCATGGCATGCGCCAGCCCATGCTGTGAACCACTGGCCCGGGAGGTCAGGGAGAGGTCCCAGGGTCTCCTGAGCACTGTTTGGGAGAACCAACCTCCAAAAAAAACAACTGCTTCCTTGGAAGGAAAAAAGATTGCTTCCCCCCCGCCCCTTTTTGGGTCACACCTGGCGATGATGCTTAGGGCTTACTCCTGGCTCTGCACTCAGGAATCACTCCTGGTGGCGCTTGGGAGACCATACGGGATGCTGGGGATCAAACCCGAGCACTTGCAAAGCAAGTGCGCTCCCTGCTGTACTACTACTCCAGTCCCGAGATAGAATTGCTTTTTTATTTATTTATGCTATTTTTTTGGGGGGGGTCACACCTGGCGATGCGCAGGGGTTACTCCTGGCTCTGCACTCAGGAATTACCCCTGGTGGTGCTCAGGGGACTACATGGGATGCTGGGAATTGAACCCGGGTCAACCGCGTGCAAGGCAAACACCCTACCCGCTGTGCTATTGCTCCAGCCCCTAGAATTGCTTTCAATACTACTTCTTGGCGCTGGAGAGCAAGCTCAACAGGCTCTGCATACAGGAGGCCTGGGCTCCACCCACATAGTCTTCGAGTACCTCCAGGAGTGAGTCCTAGCACTACTATGTGTGAGCCCCGAACTGAAAGCCTTTCTTTCCTTTTTTCTATTGGCCGGGAGGGGGGCCTTCCAAGCAGTGTCCAGAGGCGACAGACACCTGCCCTGCCCGGTTCAATCAGTCCTTGCCCCACCCACCAGCCTTGGCCCCAGACCCCTGGTCAGGCCTAGCCCCGCCGGCTCCGCCCAGTGCCTCTGTCCCCGCCCACAAGAAACAGACCCGCCACGCCCACCAGCCCTGGCCCCACCCACCTACTCCAGTCTGCTCCGCCCACCGGTCTTAGCCCCGCTCGCCTGTCCCACTGACCCACTCACTGGCTTCAGCCCCGCCCACCTATCCCAGCCTGCCCCGCCCACCAGTTTCAGCTCCGCCCACTGACTGGTCCCATTTGCTTATCCCGACCCACCCGCCCACTGGCTTCAGCCCCGCCCACCCACCCCAGCCTGCCCCGCCCACCGGTTTCAGCCCCGCCCTCCCAGAGGTTCTGGCCCCGCCCATCTATCCCGGCTCCGCCCAGCGGTCCCGGCTGGTCCCACACTCCTGTCCCCTCGCCCCTTCTTACCCTTGGCGTTCTCGGCCAGCACGGTGTTGAGGCTGCCGAGCGGCGCGAGCTCCAGGGCGAAGCAGAGCGGGTGGATGCTGATGCCGACAAGTGCCACGATGCAGGGGTGCTGCAGGGCGTGCAGCGTGCTGGCCTCCTGCCGGAACTCCGAGAAGTTCTTCATAGAGTCAGCTGCGCGCAGGTGCCGCAGCACGGTGTCTGCGGGACAGCAGGCCAGTTCAGCGCACGGGGCACCGGGGATTAAGCTGTTCCTATTGCGGGGGCCCAACCACGTGGCCGTTCCCCGCATCCCTGTCCGCTGGTCCCTTCTCCCTTCTCCCAAAGGTGAGGTTGACGCAGCGGCGCTGGGACTGGAACTCAGAGCCTCGGGATTGTCTGGGGTCACGGAGACAGCTCCGGGGCCAACCAGACTTTCAACTCAAGGGAGGGGAGAAGTTGGGGATCAAGAGGGTGGCCTGAAGTTAGGCCCCAAGCCTCAATGTGACTCCAGGATTGGGGTCGGCCTCACCCCCACAGGTCTATTAAGAACGTCCCCAATGCAACCACTCCCCCTGCCATGCCCCTGCCCAGGTCACTGTCAGTATTCCCCTGCCCCCCCTTCCTATCTGATTGCAGGGTCTGGGCCAGAACCAGCACATCTGGGTGTAACAGAGCACGTGGTGCAGAACCAGGCTGCCCGAAGGCTGTTTACTTCTCCCAGTTGGCCAGCTTCCCGGCTGCAGTGACCACCCTCTCACCTCGCCCTCCCAGGTGAGAGACAGCCTGGACACAGAGGGGGGCAGTTCCAGGTCCCCTGGGAGAAGGGCCTGGAGGGTCTCTCAGATGCTTCAAAAGCACTGGGGTGGCGGGGGGCAGGGGGGTTGGGGTGGGGTGTGATAACACGGCAGGGAGAGTGCTGGTCTTGCATGCAGATGCCCTGGGGTTCAATCCCCGGTGTCTCACATGGTCCTCAGAGCCTTGCCAGGAGTGAGTCGTGAGCACAGACAGGTGTAGCCCCAAACAAAGATACTTCTGGTGCTGGGCAGGGAGAGCCCCAGGGGCAGGGTGAGCTGTTGGCTGGGTATCTGGGGTCCCCCAGCCCATCAAGAGAGTCTGAATTGAGGTGGGGGTACACCCAGACATGAGACGCCCCTTCTGCTTGGGGTGGAGGTGAGGGTAACCCAGGCTGCTCCCACCCATTCACCTGCACTCCCTCTTTCCTCCAATGGAGGTCCTAAGTGGGCTCTGCAAGGTGAGGGTGCCCCTGCCTGAGCCCTGAGAGGATGGCCATCATTTGCGAGGCCCTCGTGGGCACAGAGCAGAGAGAAACTCTCTGGGCCAGGGCCCTCGGGAGCTCCGTCAGATAAGAGCACCATGGTTAAGGGGCCAGAGCGATAGGATAGCGGAAGGGTGCCAGCCCTGCACGTCGTGGCTCAATCCCCAGCATTCCATAGGGTCCCCTGAGCCCCACCAGCAGTGATTCCTGAGTGCCAAGCCAGGAGCGAGCCCTGAGTACCACCAGGTGTGGCCCCAAAACAGAACCAAAACCAAAGTGTCATGGTCAAAAGCTGTCTGGCCCAGCCCGGTCCTGGCTCATGCCATGCCTGGGCAGCACAGAGCAGGGCGGCCTGTCCCCCAGCCCCTCCTGCAGGTGACCCCAGGCCCCGCGGAGCCCCAGTTTACCTGCAGGTGCATTGGCGAAGTTCTTGAATTTCTTGATATGGAAGCGCTTCACAGCCACTGGCTGACCTTGGTAGCGGGCCCGGTAGATGACGGTGCCGCTGCCGCCCTGGCCCAGCACGCTGCCCTCGTCCTCACTGTGCTCCAGCTTGCTGTTCTCCAGGAAGAGCCTGTGGGGGGCACGGTTGGAGTGTTGGGACACAGTGGCCCTGGGCAGGCGATGCCACTTCCCTGGCCTCTGTCCCCTCCTCTGTCAAGTGGGCCCAAGACAGAAACGGCCTGGTGCAGGGAAGCTTCCAGAAAGTGAGACGCAGAGACAAAGCCTCTGGTGTTTTGTTATTTTTCAAAATTAATTATTTTTTGCTCTTTGGGTCACACCTGGTGATGCTCAGGGTTTACTCCTGTCTCTGCACTCAGGAATTACTCCTGGTGGTGCTCGGGGTGCCATATGGGATGCCGGGGACCGAACCCGGGTTGGTCACATGCAAGGCAAATGCCCTACCTGTTGTACTATCCCTCCAGCCCCTGAACTGGGTTGGATCCCCGGCATTCCATGGTCCTCTGAGCACCACCAGGAGTGATCCCTGAGTTACCCTTGAGCATCGCTGGGTGTGGCCCCCCAAACAAACCAACCCACTAGCTTGAGCCCTAGGATAAGACAAGGAGGACTTTACACCCTAAAGATGCAGTGAGTGGCCAATGCCAGACAATTTCCGGGGAGGCTGGATCACAGCATCATAGCCTTGTCTCCATGACAACAGTAGCCTTCATCCTACGCCATTCTGGGACGGGGGGTCCTGAGGGCTAGGACCAGTACCCCACTCCCAGGCAGACTAGAAGTGGGATAGAACCCAGATTCTGATTTCAGGGCCCTGAGGCCTGCCTCAAGGTGGCGGTCAGGAGCAACCAGGTTCTGTGGGAGGACAGCCCAGCCCAGTGCCAGGCCCCTCCCCGCGCTGGGAACGTGTGGAGAGCCCTGGGCTGGGGCACAGCTCGGGGGTTGTTGGGAAGCCCAGCGGTGCTGACCCAGACCCCCTGTGCACGGCCAGGTGCAGCCCTGGTGACCCTCAAACATCACTGGGTGTGCCTCTGGCATTGCTGGCGTGGGCAGGACCACATCCTTGGACCATTGACCTGAGGGTCCCCACATGTTCACTGAACCCGTAAGCGCCGTCCCCCGCAAACCAAGCCAGGCCAGCACCCTGGGTGCCTTCCCCGGCACGAATGGTTCCCCAACAGATGCATCTCCACCCACAGGAAAAGGAAACCTGCCCTGAGGCTGGCTGGGCACACCTGGCGGGAAAGTCTGTCATGAAGAGCTCGGGCACCAGCTCCTGCAGGGGCACGGGCTGGTCGGGGTGCCGGGGGCAGGCGATGGTGCTGTGCTGGGTGGCTGTGAGCACGCAGTCAGCCATGTCGAAGTACTGCACCGCGTCTTCCTTCCCGCCCGGCTCCGTGCGTGGCACCCGGCCACCCTCGCACACCGGGCAGGGCACGTACTGCTCCATCAGGGGCGTCCCGTCGCTCTCCGTGGCCGTCAGGGCTGTGGGGGGCCGAGCAGGAGTGGGTGGGTGCTGGCAGAGGGCAGAGATGGGGCCCCGTGTGCATGGTGGGGGCGGGGCCGGGGTGCTGGGTGGTCTGTGCCCTGGCTACGGGAGTCAGGGACCATTCCTGTCCATGAGGGTCCCAGGGGGGTCCGAGGGGGACCCAGTGGGCTCTGGGAAGTCAACCCCAACCAGAAAGGTTTGATGAAAACAACAGACCTAAGTCTGGAGCTAGGACAGTGGGGCGGGTGCTGGCCCTGCATGTGGCTGACTTGGGTTCAATTCCCGGCACCCCATATGGTTCCCTGAGCACAGAGCAGGGAGTCCGCCCTGAGCACCACTGGGTATGGCCCAGAAACCCAAGCTCATTTTGCAGTGGGTTTGTCACCTGGGCAGGAAATGCTTCTTTGTGGCTGTCCCAGGGCTGAGGTGCAGAGCATTCGGGGTCTGCTTGCCAGTTGGCAGTGGGAACTCAGATACCCCCCACCATGGGGAGCCTTCCCTGGGATCCTTTCCCTGTCCCCCTCCTCACGTAAACAGTGGCCCCACACCCTGTCTTCTTTGGGGGTGCAGTCAGGGGAGCTGCCAGTCCCAGGGGCTGAGCAGGGGGGCCATGGGTGGGGAGGACTTCTGGGACGTGGGGGTGTGATGGGAGGCGGGAAGGGAGAAGGGGGACCTTGGGCAGTTTCCCATCCGGCCAAGTGGGGCTCCCTGAATTCCAACAGCTCTGCCCTCTCTGCGACCAAGGCAGGGTGTGGTCCACACACGGACGGGGGATTCTCAGACCACATGGTGGGTCACAAGCGCTGTTCCCCACACTGTGGGTGGTCAGGAGGGCAAGCCCAGATGGAAACCCCAAAGTGCTTTCCCAGCCCACCACATGGAGCCCTTGGCTGTCCCTGGCATGGAGCCTGGTGGGTCCCCCAGTCCCCCAAACAGCCCTGAGAATTTGGGGGCAAGTGCCCACTCTGTACCGGGGAACCACTGGTCAATAAGCAAGTTGATGTGGTCAGTGATGAAGGCCATGGCTGAGAAGTCCCTCACGTCTGACTGACATATAACCTTGATGCCGCCGCTCTTCTTCCTCTTCCAGTTCACATCGGAGGACTCCACGCTGGGGGGGCAGAGGGATGTCCTGCTGGTGCTGGTGCCCCCGTGTGGGGAGAAGCACCTGGGCCTGGCCGCATGGGGCAGTGCAGCCAGTCCTGGGTGTGTCTCTGGGCCTCCCGCTGGTCCTGGGTGTGTCTCTGGGTCCTCAGCCGCCACTGGCCACTGGGAGCTTTAGAGACCCTAAGGGAGCACCCAGCCCCCCTGGGGTGCCCTTAGGACAGCTCCTTTCCCCCGCCCTCACCTTCTCACAGAACTGAGGTCACAACCATCTCTAGCGGTGTCTGGGGGGAGAGTTTGGGGCCACACCTAGCAGGGCTGGGGTGGGGGGAGGGTCTTTCCTGGTGCTGATCTGGGGACTGTGCCATACCATGCCAGGGACCACACTCAGGTCTCCTGCCTGCCAGGCTCTCATGCCAGCCCAGGGCCAGCTGCGTGCAAGGTGAGCGCCTTCAGCCCTGCCCGATCTCCCTGGCCCTGGACATCTCACTGTAAAGCTAAGAGCACCATGCAGTGCAGGTGAGGGGAGAGAAAGGACAGTGGGGAGGGCGCCTGGCTTGCACACAAACTGAACTGGGGTTCAATTCCCAGCACTTTAAAATCCCCAAGCCCTGCCAGGAAGCCCTGAGCATCACTGGGTGTGACCTCCAAGATAAAAATCTAAAAATCAGATGGTCTTCCCCAAACTAAAATAAGAGAAAGCAGTGAGTCTGTTCAGGGGTGGGGAGCATCCCTTGCTCACATGCATGGGACCCCAAGTTCTATCTCCGGCACTGTATGGAGGCCCCGACCCCCACCCCGCGAGCACCATGGGAAGGAGCCTTGGTGCCACTGGCTCGCCTGGTTGGCTGGGAGTAGCCCCCAGTTTCCTGAGCACTGTTTGGGAGTAACCCCATGGCAGAAGCAAGCTATGTATTTGGTATGTGGGGTCACACCAAGGGGCTCCCAAGTGTTCCCATAGGCCTAAACAAGTGCACCCTGTGACCTGAGGGGGTCTATGTGGTTATGGAACTCTCATCCCTGAGTTCCATGGCTGCCCACACCCCTAAGTCCTGAACTGAGGTCAGCAAACCCTCCTGAAACTGTTGTTAATGGAAGGGAAACTTCTGGAACATTCTGGGGGGTTGTGGAACATTCTGGGGGCTTCTAGAACATTCTGGGGGCTTCTGGGACATTCTGGGGGGTAGGTCACAAGTGTGAGGGCAGCCTCTGGGGCCCAGGGTGGAGGGGTGCCGTCCCACCTGAGGTAACCCCCATCGAAGGTGACCAGGAGCCCCTCCTGCCAGTAGATAGTCTGGTTCCGCTTCACGCGGAAGGTGCTGCAGCGGTTCCTCTGGCTGCCCGTGAAGCTGTAAATGACTTTCCTGTGTCTGCTCTTCGTGTTCTTCTTGTTCTCAAAAAGCTGAAGGGACGGAGCAGAGTTCTGTTAGGGCTCCCAGCGGGGCTGTGAAGAGGCCTGGGCCATCCCCACCCCCACATCCGCAAGGCCCTCCCCAGCCTCCGCCATGGCCAAGGAGACTCAGCGAACACGTTTCCCCCAGGGGATGCAACAGGCTTTCCTCTGGAAAATCCTCCCCTCCCTGATTTCACAGGCCAAAGCGTCTGTGAGGAAAAATGTGGGAAACAGACACATAAAAGAGAAAAGACTTCCCTGGCTAAAGGACGGCAAAGCTCCTCCCTTCCAGAACTTTCCCATCTGTGCATGTGTTTATAGAGCCGTTGAGACCAGGAGGCTCATCCAGCGTCACTTCCCACAGCTGAGAACTAATGTTCACGTTTCTTTGTTCTGTGTTTGGGGGCCACACCCGGCCGTGCTCAGAGCTTACTCCAGGCTCTGTGCTCAGGGATCATTCCTGGTTGGGCTCGGGGGACCATACGGGGTCCCAAGAAACCAAATGCAGGTTGGCCACGTGCAAAGTAAAAAGACATCCCTGCTGTCTTGTCTCTCTGGACACAATATTTTTTTTTTACTTTTTGGGTCATACCCATTGATGCTCAGGGGTAACTCCTGGCTCTGCACTCAGGAATCACTCCTGGCAGTGCTCAGGGGGACCCTGTGGGATGCCAAGGATCGAACCTGGGTCTGCCACATGCAAGACAAACACCCTCCCCGCTGTCCTATTGCTCTGGCCCCTGAACACAGAATTATTTTTTTTTCTTTTTGGGTCACACCCAGCGATGCACAGCGGTTACTCCTGGCTGTGCATTCAGGAATTACTCCTGGTGGTCCTCAGGGGACCATATGGGATGCTGGGAATCGAACCCATGCAAGGCAAATGCCCTACCCGCTGTGCTATTGCTCCAGCCTCCCCAGAAGTTTTAAGGAACAAAAGTAGGGAGCACCAAGACAGCGCAGGGCTGAGGTGCCGGCCCTGCATGCAGCCGGCTCTGGTTCAGCTCCTGACATTGCACAGGACCCCGGGCACCCTCCAGGATGCCGCAAGCATCTCCAGAAGTGGCCCCGGGGTACGGAGCCAGCAGTCAGCCTTGACTACTGCATGGTGTGGACCTGAAACCAAAGGGCTCTGCCAGGCTTGAGGGCATGAGCCTTGTTTGTTGCCTGGTCATGAGCAGCTGCTATTTCTATTTTTGAGACAACACATGGCGGTGCCCAGGGGTTTCTCCTCGCTCAGTGCACAGGGATCACTCCTAGCATACTCAGGGGGCCATATGGAATGCCGGGAACTGAACCCAGGTTGGCTGCATGCAAGGCAAAAACACCTCTCTGCTGTCCTATGCTCCAATCCCTAGGTTGGCTGTGGGGCTTCAGGCTGGTCCTTCCAACAAAGGGCACCTGGGCACAGAGGACATGTAGGGAGGTGCCCACCCTGCCTCTGGCCCTCCCTGCTGCCACCCACAGCGCAGGCCCACCTACCTGCAGGTCCATCTCGGCCAGGCTGATGAGCATGCGGGCAATGAACCTCTGCCAGAAGCCCACGGGCACGAAGCTCATCTTGAAGACCCGCTGGATGGTGTTGTCCGCGGGGCGCTGCAGGCTGTGGGTGTCCAAGCCCGGCTTGGACGGGAGGAGATGGGGCAGGAGGTAGCTGGGGCGGACCCAGAGCAGCAGTGAGCCATAGGGTCGGTCGCGCCCGACCCGGACTGCATCCCCCGGGGGGGCTGCCCGCACGGCCTCACCTGTCATTGGCTACAGGCAGGGCGATCTCGAACTTGGCCAGGAACTGGAAGTACTGCTCCTCCGTCTGCTGGGTGAAGCCGGTTCCAGCCAGCAGCAGCCGGAGGTCCTCGGCCCGGATCACCCCGTTCTTCGCCACAGAGCGGGAGCCCCTCATCTGGAAGATGCGCTGCAGGCACTCGGACAGCCAGACGGGGTCGAGGAAGTAGAGGCTGCACAGGCCGTGGCTGGTGTCAGGGAAGTGCAGGAGTGTGCCCGTCTCGATGAGGAAGTTGATGGCTGCCGGGAGGGGGCGGAGTGCTCAGACACAGGCTCTGGGGGACCCAGGGACCTCCACAACAGGCTCTAGGGGGGCCTGGGGACAGCCGCAGGCCATGACACGCCCACCACCAGTGACTTGAGTTCCAGTTTGCTCCCCCTCTGTGACTCCTGGCCTCTCTCCCTGAGCACCAGTTTCACCTTTTGGGGACGCACACAGCAGGGGAGCGGCTCACCCACTGTGCGAAGGGCTGGCTTGGCCCCGCTGTTTGCATTTGGGGCTTCCAGGCAGGGCTTTGTCCCTGGCACCCAAAGCCGCTGCAGAGCGCCCCTGCCACACCTCACCCTGGCCGGATCTGCTCTCAGAGCACACACCCACCCAGAGTATCCCAGTTTATGAGCACAGGGAGGCTGCCAGGAGGCTCATGGGAGAGGAAAGCACGGGTCCCCGGCACCGCAGGGGTGAGTCCTGAGTGCACAGAAATGAGTAAGCCCTCCAGGAGCACCGCCAGGTGTGGCCCCGAACCAGAACCAACCAGAACCAGCCCCACCAACCCAACCCCACCAATCAACTGCTTTTCCTTTGAGAGCCGCAGCTCCGTGTTCTGGGGGCCCCGGCTTGCTCGGGCAAGTGTGTCTCAATGTATTTCTGTCTCAATTAAAAAGGGGGTGCTGGGTTGCTGGGGAAGCGAGGGGTGGGGGGCATGTTTTCACAAGCTCAGCATCACTGAGTTGGAAGCCTGTTGAGCCGCATGGCCCCGGCCCTGTGCCGCCCCCTGCTGGCCACCCACCAGACTGCAGGTCCTCGTAGTCTTGGATGTCGTTGTCGGGCGTCTGCTCCACCAGCTGCTCCAGCTGCCGGTCCGTCAGGTACTGCACATCGTCCTCCAGGTGGCGGCGCTGCTGCTCTGCCAGGATGGCCTCCTGGAGGCTCAGGTAGCTCCTGGGGATCTGGAGACAGGTGGGGGACAGGTGGGAGCGCAGGTGAGAGGCGGGTGGGTGAATAGATGGGGGAAGGTGGGGACAGGTGAGGGCAGGTCGGGACAAGGGGGAGACAGCGGGGGACAGGCGAGGGCAGGTGGGGGCAGGTGGGAGCAAGTGGGTGAACAGGTGAGGGGCAAGTGGGCTGAGGGGGCAGGTGGGAATAAGCCAGGTCCAGCTGGGGGCCAGGCAGGGAGGTGGGCGGCCAGGAAGGAGCAGGCCAGGTGCCCGCCTGCCCTCCTAGGCTTGAGCGAGAACCATTTCCTCTTGCCCCGACCCTCCCCCGCTAGGAAGGGCAGACCCAGGAGTGCCGTGTTTTTCGGGGCTCAGGCAGCACCGCGGGGACCCACCAGCCTCCCGACCAGCCGCTGGCTGCCGATGGGGCTGCCCACGTCCTTCATGCCGCAGGTGACCTGGAAGATGAGCCGCCGCAGCCCGTCCTGGCCCTCCAGGCTCTTGCAGGAGACCTCGCTGGGCGGGGGAGAACCGCTGAGGCCTCTGCCCGCCGCCTCCTGCACCAGGGCCCCCAGGGATTCCCGCCAGCACCCCCAGCCCATGGGAGGGCGCCCAGAGTGCGGTTAAGGGCGACTTGGCGGGCACCCTAGCCTGTCCCCCAGTATGACGAGTTCACAGCCCCTCCGCCCCCACCCCCCCAGCGAGGTAGCAGGCGAGGCTTGCACAGATGCCAGGGTCCCTCCGTGAGGAAAACCCAGCAGGATTCTCTGAAACCCCATCAGCCTGTGCCCTCAAGCACGGACATGTGGGTGGACATGGCCCCTCCCCAGCAGGCCTGGCCTCGGAGCCCACCGTCAGGAGCGGGCAGGCACAGCCTAGGGAGTTGAGGCCACTCGCGGTGTCCAGCCCGACCCTCTGCACCCCAGGCACTGCTGGGAGCCCCGATTCACCCTCGAGGTCGGTGCTGGCGCTGCTCTGGCTATGAGACGCGGTGCAAGGGGGTCCCCGCAGACCACAGGGGCCGGGCCGCCCCCTCTGCGGCGCCCTTTGCTGGCCGCCAGGGGCCGCGGGACACTCACTGCAGGTGTTTGCAGGTGATGTCGGGGAAGCCAGTGGCGCGGGAGCCCGAGGGCGAGCGGCAGATGGCCAGCACGTATGCGCGCAGGGTCGCGATCCGCTCCACGCGGAACTTGGTCTCGATCAGGTCCAGGTGTGTCCCCACCACCAGCACCACCGCGTTGGGCGCCTTGGCCTGCGAGGGAGAAGGCCCCGCCCCGTGCTGCCCACGTGCCCGCCGGATGCCCCGCCCCACCCACGTGCCCGCCAGACGCCCCGCCCCGCGGACCCCCGGCCAGCTTCTGGGCTGCTGCCCCCAGAGTTCTCAGGGGGCATGGGGCGCAGGGCGAGTTTGTTATTATCAATAGTTTTATTTTTGTTTTTTTTTTTGTTTGGGGGCCGCACCAAGCGATGCTCAGGGCTGACTCCTGGCTCTGTGCTCAGGGCTCGCTCCTGGTGGGGCTCAGGGGACCCTATGGAGGCCCACCAATCCCTTGCACATCAGCACTGTGTTGAGACTCACATCACCTTGAGTACAGGGCACAGAACCGTCCTCCACCTGCTGACCCCTGAGTGGGCTGCTGGACACGGAATACGACGCAGACATATTCAGCAGACAAGGGTTCTAAGGAACTTACTGTGGCCTAAGATTCTAAGGGCCCCAATGAACGGGACCCTGGCTCCCATGCCTGACTTTTTCCCCAGCGATTTTTTTTCCCTACCAGAGGGATACAGCAGGGCATTTGTCCTTGCATGAGGGGGTCCCCGCGTTCCATCCCCCGTACCACAGAGCAAAACCCAAACAATCAAGAACCAGGGGCTGGTGGTGGGGGCGGTGTGGGCAGGACATGTAGGGTGTGGGGGCCCTCTCCTCGATGGGGGCCAGTGGGGGGCGGGGAGGGCAGGATGCAGGGGCCCTCCCCTCGATTGGGCACCGGTGGGGGGCAGGACTCGGGGGCCCTCACCTCGATGTTCAGCAGCCAGAACTGCAGGCTGGCCACGGCCTCCTCACCCAGCGCCAGGTTCCAGACCACCACGTAGAGCGCCTTGTCGGTAAAGCAGCACTGGTTGACGATGGCCATGCTGGCCGGGCCCCCCACGTCCCACACGTTGAACTCCACCGACTCCACCTGCTCGAAAAGTGGCCGGGGCAGGGAGGCAGGTGAGCGCCCAGCGTCTCAGAACCGGGTGGCGGGAGTGGAGCCCCTCAGTCCAAGGCGCGTCTGGGGGCTTCACTGCCAGCCACTGAGCGGGCGCTGGACGCGGGGCCCTCTGAGTCTCCTGCACGCAGCGATGTCTGTGGGGTCTAGGGGCGCCTCTGTCAGTGCTGCAGATGGGGGAACCGGGGCTGACACCAGGACGCACCCCTTGACCTGACCTCTGTCTGGCCACGGTGGGAGGCTTGAGACAGGCACAGTGACCGCTGCCAGCACCCCAAGATTCAGACCTTCCCTGGCCCCACCCCGAGAAGCCCCCGGCCTGCAGGAGGAGGGTGCGGGTCCCGGCCAGGCTCCAACTCTAACCTTGGCTTTGGAGCCCGCTGGCCTCTGCAGTTCCCACTTGGTGGTCCTGATGGTGGCCTCGCTGGGCACCGCCGGGGGGGCCCTGCCGGTCTGCAGGATCTCCAGGAGGGTGGACTTGCCCTGGCGCGGAGGCCCCACGATGACCATCTTGACCAGTTTGCACCTCTCGGCCTTCCGCAGCTGTGCCCGCAGGAAGGACAGCACGGCCTTGGGGCCTGGGATGTGGGGGATACAGGCTGCAGTGGGCGGCCAGCACCCCGACAGGACCCGCTCCCCAGGACTGGGTCAGTGGAGGGAAGGTCCTGGCAGTCAGGGACCCCCCAGACCATGCCCTCGATGCCAACGGGTTGAGGTCACCATGTGTGAACTGGGGGAGGGTCTGTTTCCTTGTTGGTTTTTATCCTTACAACACTGGAAACTTTTGGACGTGTGACAATTTGAAAGAACGTGAGAACCAAGAGTTGAGAAGTTGTGGGGGAGTCGCAAATGTTGTGCCACGAAGCTGAAGGTCCTGGTGGGCTGGGCAAGTGACCATGACGTGGACCCCCAAGCCCTCCTATCCTGTCTCATGCCACCACGTTAGATCTGTGACCCCCCCCCCCCCCCCGCCCCATGCCACACTCTGGTCAGACAGAAACAGGCCGAATCTACAGTGTCATAACCGCAAATAGCCATGTACAACGTGTCATGTGATTATTACATGGATGTCATTACTATGTATCATATCATGTGTCATGTATCTTGTGAACATCACATGTTATGCAAGTATTCTGTGAAGATCATTTGCTATCTGTCATGCATCAGGTAACTGTGAAGTCGTGGTAACACCATAGGATCACATGTCCCACATGACTGACATACATCACAGGTCATGTGACATGTCATCCCGTGTTCCTGATGGCGATGCAGGTGGTCAGGCCGTCAGTAGCTGAGTTCTGGGGACCGTCCAAAGTTGGAGAGAATTTCCAGGGGGGCTTTGGCCCCACCATGCCCCTCCCCCTCCCCCCACCTCCTCCGAATGTTCCATCACTCACTTTGGGGCTAAACTCTCCCAAACACGGCGACACAGCCCTTCCCCGTGTCCCAGGCTGACCTGGAGGGACCTACCTTCCTTCTGGATGTCCGCGGGCACGTTGCTGATGGTCAGTTCCTCAGTGTCCAGCTGCCAGAGGTTGCTGAGCTGCCCGAGCTCGAAAGGGAGTTCTCGGAGGCCTGGGTTACTGGCAGGCACCCCAGAAACACGTCAGGGCCGAATCCCCGTCTAAATGCTGAGTCCCAGGCCTCTCGGTCCCACAGTGCTGAGTCTCAGAGCCGGCCTTGCCCAGCCCCCTATCTCACTGTCACTTCCTTAGTGACCAGCATCATGGCTTCTGGGGGTCCTGGGCCCCCAGCACTGTGTGGTCCTGAGCAGCACCAGGAAGGGGATGCAAGCAGAATCAACGTCTGCCAGAGTCCAGAATCCCCTGGTCCCCAGCAAGGCGTGAGCATCAGCCGGGACTCAGGGCAAGGGCCACGACCGAGGCTCCCACACCCCAGACCCACCTCCCCTCCCGCTCTCCCTCCAGGAAGCCGCGTCTGGACGGTTCCGGCTGCTACCGCCCTGCAGTCCACTTTGTGGGACTGGCGACTCACTTGCCCAAGTAAAGTTCGGATAAGCTCCGGAGCAGGCAGACAGAAGAGGGCACAGCGTCCAGCTGGTTGTCGTTCAGACAAAGGACCTCCAGAGACTCGCTGAGGAAGGCCGGGAACTCCAGGGCACAGGCTGTAGGGGCGCAGGGGGGAGTGTGCTGAGGGTCGGTGTGGAGGAGAGAGGGAGAGAGAAACAGAGAGAGACAGAGAGAGAGAGGGAGAGAGAGAGAGAGACAGGTAGAGAGAGATAGTGTCAGAGAGAGACAGAAGCAGAGAGAGAGAGAAGGAGAGAGATAGAGACAAAGAGAGAGAGGGAGAGAGACGGGGGGGGGGGAGAGAAGGAGAGAGAGGGAGAAGCGCGCATCACACGGAGGGTGGGGCACAGCCTTGCAGGGCAGGGACCCGAGTTCAGTTCCTAACCAAGACCCACCTCCAAGGCCTGGAGCCGTATTGAAACAGGCGCTGGCCTTGCATGCAGCCAACCCAGTTTGATCCCTGCCACCTCGTATGGTTTCCTGAGCCCTGGCAGGAGTGAGCCCCGAGCACAGAGTCAGGAGTCAGCCCCGAGCACAGAGCCAGAAGTGAGCCCCGAGCATAGAGGCAGGAGTAATCCCCGAGCACAGAGGCAGAAGTGAGCCTTGAGCAAGGCAGGGGTGGCCCCAAACAAGCTGCTGACAAGAGAAGAATGTTTCCGCCGGCTCTTGAGGCCTGCGGTGCTGGAACATGTTTCGCTCACATGTGGTGGGTTTAAGCGACTTGGCTCTAAGTCTCTTGGCTGTTTCCACCCTGCAGAAGCCCGGGTTTTTCTCTCTTGAACATGTATTTCCTCTCTTCACCTCCCCTCACATCTTTCTAAGCAAGTTTCATTCAATAAAAACTCTTGCTTGCGGGGCTGAAGCAGTTGTACAGCAGGAAGGGCACTTGCCTTGCATGCAGCGACCCAGGTTCGACCCCCCAGGCACTCCATGGGGTCCCCTGAGCGCAGCCAGGGCCGATTCCTGAGGGCAGAGCCAGGAGTGACCCTTTAGCAGAGCTGCATGTGGCACAAAAGCAAAATATATAAGTATGCAGCACTGTAGCACTGTCCTCCCACTGTTCATCGATTTGCTCGAGCGGGCACCAGTAATGTCTCCCTTGTGAGACTTGTTGTTACTGTTTTTGGCATATCAAATATGTCACGGGAGCTTGCCAGGCTTTGCCGTGCAGGTGGGATACTCTCGGTAGCTTGCCGGGCTCCCCAAGAGGGACAGAGGAATCGAACCCGGGTTGGCCACGTGCAAGGCAAACACCCTACCCGCTGTGCTATCGCCTGGGCAGGGCAAAGCCAGAGGAAACTCTGGTGGAGGTCCATAGCGGTCCTGACGTGCAAATCGGTCATCTGACCGGGTATAGGAGCGAAAGACTAATAGAACCATCTAGTAGCTGGTTCCCTCCAAAGTTTCCCTGACCCTCTTATACAACCACCCACACAGTTTTATCTGGTAAAATAAGTATGTCTATATTTTAAATGACAGGGCTCAGGGGACTGCACCCAGGTTGGCTGCATGCAAGGCCAGTGCCCTACCCACCATGCCATCTTCCCAGCTCCAAACATGATGTTTACAAGCACACGTAATATTTCTTCAGTGGATGAAGAAAAGCTGCTCATTGGACAAGAAATCTGGGTTTCCTCCTTGTCCAAGATGGTGGCCTGGGGCGGGGCAGGGGTGAGAGGGGACCAACTTCTGGGAAGTTTAAGTGACTTTGAGAATTTGGCAAATCAGGAGATGATCATGAAACAGCCACGTGGGGGTTGAGCGTTGGCTTTGGCAGAATCTCCAAGAACCTTCTTCCTCCTCCAGCCCCAGGGGTGGGGTCCCTCTCTAGGGCCGCCCCCCCATCCTCTCAGCCGCCCCTCCAGAGAAGCCAAGTTCTGCTGCTGGGCTGAAGGGTTTCCCCGATTACAGCTTCCCTTCCCTCGGACTTTTCTCCGCTCACGTGGCTGTTGGCAGTGAGGGCAGACTCAGTGTCAGAGAATGTTCTGGAAGCAAAGATCCTGGGAAGGGACAATCGAGGCCTGAAAACCTGTCCAGCCCCTGTCCCATGCAGGGCACTCCATGCAGCAACCTCCCCCGGGACATAAAAACCACAAACCCGGGGCTGGAGCGAAGGCACAGCGGGGAGGGCGTTTGCCTAGTACGCGGCCGACCCGGGTTCGATTCCCAGCATCCTATATGGTTCCCTGAGCACCACCAGGAGTAACTCCTGAGTGCAGAGCCAGGAGTAACCCCTGTGCATCGCCGGGTGTGACCCAAAAACAAACAAAACAAAACAAAACAAAACAAAAAGACCACAAACCCTTCCAGAAAACGTCCTCTTGGCTTAATGCTCAATGAGAAAGGGTGATTGCATCACTGGCCACCTGAACTCCCATCCACAGGGTGTTTATTATTTTGTGGGGGAGGCCACACCTGACAGTGCTCAGGGCTGACTTCTGGCAGAGCTCGGGGACCCTATGGGATGCCGGGGATCAAGCCTCGGTTGGCTGCATGCAAGGCAAGGACCCTTCCGCTGTGCTATCACTCTGGTTCATTTTTGTCTTGGGGGATTGGACTCTGCCAGCAGTGCTCAGGAGTTGCTCCGGGTAGTGCTTGAAATGGAACCCGGGGCTCCTGTGTGCCAAGCAAGTGCTTCAGTCCTGGAAGTTCCTGGGCCCCCCCAATTCCATGTTTACAAAACACAGATCCAGGGGCGGAGGGGCTCCTCCTGGTCCCTAAGCACCAAACAAATAAAATAAGGACCCTGTGCCCTGTGAGTCTCTCCCCAAGGGACGTGCGTGGAATTCCCGGCCTCAGTTTCCCCTGGGGGCTCATCCTGCCTCTCCTGGAAGGGCAGCTGGCATCACTGCCTTGCAGGCCCTCCGCTAGCCAGCACAGACACACTAGCTCTGGCCCTGGTGGGGAGAGCCCGGCGCTGCAGTTACAGACATCAGTGCTTTACTCCAGAGTAATTTATGACTCCGTGGGTCTGAGTGTTACCGTAAAAATGACTACCCAGATTATTTTTGGACTTGGCTCCTGCACAAACACGATGACCAGCACGGCCTTAACGCTGTTGGAATTTCCCTTTCCGGTGGCACAGCACCGTTTAGAGGTTATGTCTGACTGTGGGTCTGCGCCCCCGAGACAGTCAGCCCGCGGCGGAGAGAACACTGCAATGCGCCCTCCCCCCATGCACCCCCATGGAAAACTTTTTTTTGTTGTTTTGGGGTCACACCCGGTGATGCTCAGAGTTAGTCCTGGCTCTATGCTCAGGAATCACTCCTGGCGGTGCTCAGGGGACCAAGCGGGATGCCGGGGGTTGATCCTGTGTCAGCTGCATGCAAGGCAAATCCCTCCCCGCTGTGCTATTGCTCCAGCCAAGTGGTAAACTTAAAATGAGGCCTTTTTAACTTTTGTTACTGGGCCACACCCGGTAATGCTCAGGGATCACTCCTGGTGACCCTATGGGATACCGGGATCAAACCCAGGAGGGCCACACGCCAGGCAAGCGCTCTCCCCACTGTCCTGTCACTCTGGTCCTCATTGACAGACCTTTGTTTGCTGTCCGTTCCCCTTGAGCTCATCACTGCCTGCCCTAGCCCAGACACTGGCCCGCAGAAGGGTGCCTGCCATGGAACTTTCCAGAACACTGGTCTGCATTCCTGCGCTGGGTTCTCTGCCTTTCCAGCTGCCACGGCACATTGGGTGTGAGCCAGTGGCACCTGGGACAGAGCCTGGTCTTTCTCTACAGCAGAGACGCTCTTCTACCTGTCTGCCAGGGAGCCTGGGCAGCTCCACACGGGTCCTCTTTCTGGGGTGTGTGATGGGGGCGTCTCCCCAACAGGGCTCAGAGGTCTGCCTGGGGATGCTCGGGCCCAGTGGTGCTTGGATCACTCCTCACTACCTGTTCTCACAGCCTTCTGCCTTCCGTGACCACCAGGGAGAAGCAAATTCCTCCTCCTCCTCTTCCTTCTACTCCTCCTCCTCCTCCTCCTCCTCCTTCTCTCCCCCTCCTCCCCCCGCCCAAGGTCATTCCCCCTTGCCCAGACTCAAATCCCAAAGGCTTTTTTGGGGGATGGGAGACACAGCCGGCGATGCTCAGGGATCACTCGGGGGGGCCTATGGGATGCTGGGGATCAAATCCAGGTTGGCAACTGACCTCCCAGATGTCCTAGTGCTATGGCCAGGTCCTTCGTTTTCAGCTAAGTGTTTGGGCAACACTCAGAGACACTCAGGATGGGCCACAGTTCTGTGCTCAGGGGACCGTGCTGGGCAGGGTATGGCCTCTGGCACACAGAGCTCAGCCCGGGGCTCCCATGCAGCCCAGCACTCACGTTTAGAGCCGGTTCCGAAGTCCCCACTGGCCTCGGTGACAGGCGAGCTTAGGGGTCTCCAGAGCTCCAGGCTGGCCGGACCTGGGGCTGTTTCTATCCATCACTGACTTTTCTGGTCCCCTTGAAACAAATTTGTAAACTGTCTTTGTACTTCGGGGGGCTGTGGTCAACTGATGTTATAACAATCTGGTGCAAATATTTCTTCCTGGATTCTCTTGTTTGCGTTCCGACTCCAATGCTGTTTATGGAAGAGTTTTTCCACAAAAACCAAGATTTCAAAGACTGGGTCCCCACCCTGTTCCTGAAAGCATACCCCTCCCCCTGCCAGCCCACTAGAGTGCTCTCTCACATACTACAGTGCTCTTTCCCTTTGCCCCCAATGCCTCGAACACAGAACACGGGCTCTCATGAAGGCTGACGCTGGCCTGCGGCTGTCTGGGCCCTGACAGATTGACACCGGAAGACCCTTGAGAAGCCCATCCCACTAAAATAAAATGCTATCTCCATCACATTCACATTCAGTTTTTTAGTGGGGGAGGGTGGGGTGATGAAGCACTGGTTTCCAAGAAATTCTCTGGGAACAGAAGAAGTACAGGGGACAAGGCCCTCGCCACCATGTGGCCACCTCTGGTTCAATCTCAGGTGTGGTGCTAATTCCTCTGAACACAGCCAGGAGCAAGCCCAAGCACAGAGCCAGGAGTGAACCTCGAGCACAGAACCAGGAGTGATCCCCAAGTACAGAGCCAGGAGTGAGCCCCGAGCACAGAGGCAGGAGTCATCCCCGAGCATAGAGGCAGGCAGGAGTCAGCCCTAAGCACAGAGCCAGGACTGAACCCTGAGCACAGAGGCAGGAGTCATCCCTGAGCACTGCCATATGTGGCCAAAGCCGTCAACTTCCCCAAAGTAACTGTGTCTACTGAACTGCTTCACTGGGTGGGGGGCTGCCCACACATAGTAGGACAGTTTGTTTCTGGGGCACTTCAGAGGAGACCCCCAGCCCACGCAGCCCATCCTCGCTGGTCAGAATGTGAGGCTGCCCCTCCGGCGCGCAGAGCAGGGGTCCCGCAGACCGGGCTAGAGCCTGGCTCGGGCTGGGCTGGGCTGGGCTGGGCTGTGGGCCAGGGCCCTCCTGTCCCTGCATCCCTTCAGAGCTCGGTGCGGGCGCGCCACCCCTGCGGAGGCGCCGGGAACGGCCCCCGCGCGCACACACCTGTCTCGGTCGCCGACCGCTGGCGCCCCCGGGTGGTGAAAAAAGAAATCCGCTTCGTTTTCTGTCCATCTTCATTCCTTCGGGGGCAAAGAAAGGTAAAAAATAAATAAAAGTCTGACTTGGAGGAAAGTATGACAACCACCTTGGCCGTGATTATATAACACCGAGCCCGGCAGGGGAAGAGAAAATTCCAGGAGCAGGATGTTCCCAGCTTAAGGATTAGTGTCAGCAGCTGTGCTCAGGCTGCTTCTTGGGGGGACGAAATTGCAAATGCTGGGAGCGGCCTGGCGGCTGATTCTTGCTCTCCAGACTTCCCCTCGGGATGGGGTCAGCTCCTCTGCGCCTTTCAAGAAGTCACTATCCCAGATGCCTGTTGTGGGGGAGGCGCTGAGGGGCCCTGTCTGTGGGGGGGGGGGGCTGCTCTGTTGAGAGCCCACAGTGCCATCAGGAGTTGCGTCTTCAGGAACCCCTAGCCGCACCCCCAGATCTGCCTCTTTATAAGGTGATTGTGAGTGTGGGGTGGAGGGGGCGGGGAATTCCCTTCCGTTCCGAAACCCATTTTAGGGATCTGCAGAGTCTTCTGAACAGGACAGCGCCTTCTAGCAGGAAGACCGTTCCCAAGAACACACGCAGAAATGGGAGCACAAACAATCTCCCCTAAATCCCTCTGCTGCAGTCCTAACCCCCTTCCCAGCCCCTTCCGACAGGACTCGTATCTGCTCTTTCTTTCTTTTTGCTTTTTGGGTCTCAGCTGGAGATGCTCAGAGGTTCCTCCTGTCTCTGCACCCAGGAACAACTCCTGGCGGTGCTCAGGGGACCATGTGGGATGCTGGGAATTGAACCCAGGCGGGCCATGTGCAAGGCAAATGCCCTACCAGCTGCGCTACTGATCCAGCCCCCTCATATCTGCTCTTTCTAAAGGGAATAAGGTTGAAAAGGAAGGGGGGGCAGCACCCTAGTGCAGCTGGCCTGATCCTCAGGACAGAGACATCTTGAGATGACCAGGAGGGCAAGCCTTGGGGACTCCACCATCTTGGCCTTTCAGCCCTCAGCACTGGGGGACAACTAGCCCCACCCCGGGGCCCCTCCAGCTCTCAGACTTGACACTGGCAGCTCTGAGCCCACCCGGGAGTCTGCTCCATGGTAGAGATTAGAGTACAGCCTGGCAGAATCTGCCGGAAATGAAGGCCCGCACCCCCCCCCCCCCCCCACACACACACACTTTCCCCGGCCCTCACTTACTGGCCGAAGTGGTTTCTAGAGAGGTCCAGTGTCTTGAGTTGCCGGCATGTCCATCTGTCCGGAGGTGGCAGGGCCCCCAGCTGGTTCCCCTGCAAGCGCAGGGACACGAGGGCCTGGGGAAGGAGGGGGGATGGGGGCTCAGTCACTGTCAGGGCCAGGAGTGACCCGGAAACGGTTTCCTGGTGGAGGGCAGTGGAGGGTGAAGCCTCATCACTGCCAGTGCAGTGACAGTGGCTCGGGCAGCGTCTCTTCAAAGCAGGAAACCAGGGGCTGGAGAGCAGGGCAGCCTGACCTCCATGAGGCCACCCGGGTTCGATCCCCGGCACCCTGCAGGGTGGGTCCCCGAAGCATTGTCAGGAGTGATTCCTGACAGCAGAGCCAGAAGTAGGCCCTGAGCATTGCTGCGTGTAGCCTCAACCCCAAACAACAACAACAAAATACCCGAGGAACTAGGGGCCTGAGGGACAGCACAGAGGGGAGGTTGCTGGCTCTGCTCACAGCTGACCTGGGTTCGATCCCAGCACTCCACAGGGTCCCCTGATCAGTCCCACCAGGAGTGATCTCTGAGCACTGAGCCAGAAGTCAGCCCTGAGCACCTCCAGGTGTGGGCTTCAAATCAACCAACCAAAACCAACCATGAAATCAGGGTTGGGGACAGGCCCAGGGCTGACAGGGGATTTGCATATGCCAGGAGGCTGGGTCCATCTCTTGGACTCCCCTGGGCACTGCCAGGTGGCCCTGCAGCACCACAAGTGTGCAACATTCTGGCACCACCCCACTGAGCATGGCAACCAAGATGGGGCACAAGCCTGGAGCGTATGAAGTGCCAAGTTCGATCCCTTGCATTGCTGGATGTGTGGAACTGAAGACCTGGTTGGCTGAGCAGAGTGACCCCGAGCACTGCCGGGCATCACCCCCGGGCCCTTGGGCACCGACTGGGAGGGAGTGACCCCTGGGCCCTGAGCACTACAGGTCGTAACCCCTGGACACCTGGGCACTTGCAGGGCATGACTCCCGCCGCCGAGCACTGCCTGGGAGTGACCCCTGGCCCCTTGAGCACTGACTGTGAGCACCCTCCCAAGGGAAAAGGAAAAAGCAAAGAGCAGGAGACTCACCTCGAGCTGGAAGAGCCCCAGGGGCACCTCGTGCAGGGCGTTCTCAGAGAAATCCACGTCTTGCAGGTGGCTCTTCCAGAAAATGGCCATTTTCTCGGGCAGGGACTCCAGGGCGTTGTGGGATGCTCTGCAGCATTTCTAGGGGTGCAGGAGGGGGGTGCAGGGAGAGGGGGAACATGTCGGTGACCCCCGCACGGGTCACAGCAGCCCTGCCTGCCTCTGCCCACACCCCGGCTGCGTTCGATGCCTCACGCGCCGCCCTGTCCTGTTGCCCGTCCGTGGCCTCAGCCGCAAGCAGGAAAAGCAGGTGGCTCATCATTTCAACGCGGCGGTGACACCAGCAGGGCTTGGGGCTCGAACCAGGATGGGCTGCAAGCATGGCCAGTGCCTTCACCCCTGCACAAGCTCTCAGGGGCCCCCATGCCCGTGTTCACATTAGAGATATCTGGGCCACAGAGACACGCCCTCCCCCGGCTGGACCCGCAGTCTCTAAGCACAGAGGATCCTGACTTTGCCGTGGCCCTCTCTGGTCTCCTCAAGGACGAATGTGTTAGAAGCAAAACATGAACGAGTGCCACTTCCCTCCGTCCCCCGTGCCCCTCCCCCGCCCCCCTGCACGGTCCCCTCTGCTCCTCCTGAGCCCCAAAGGCAGCAAGCGCCCCTCAGTGCAGAACTCCGCCCCCACCCTCATCCCCAGGAGGCCCAGACTCTAACTGGGAATGTCCCCGTGACTGGCTGGGCCTGCTAGGTGCCGTGCGGCACGGCTCAGCTAGAGACCCTGAGGACCGGGATGCAGGGCTGCCCGGGTCCCGAGGTGCCTACTCACCAGCGGGCAGGCCCAGGCCTCCGGAAATGCCTTCAGGTGGTTCCTGGACACATTCAGACAACGGAGGGACTTGAACGAATGAAGGAAGTGGGCCGGGAGGTGGGTGAGCCTGTTGTCCGAGAGGTCCAGCTCCTGAAGCTTCCGCAGACCCATCCAGTTGGTGGCTGGGGAGAAGGGCGAGTCGGGTGTGAGCGAACATCGTGAGAGGCTGACGCAGGGACGGGGAGGAAAGGGCCGAGAGGGGCCTCCAGCCGACGGCGCAGACTCACCACTCTCCTCTTCAAACAGTCTCTCCAAGTAGTTCTTGGAAGCGGTGAGCCTCTGGAGTCTGGAGAGGTGCAGCAGCCCGGGTGGGAGGCAGCTCAGCCGGTTGCTGGAGACGTCGATGTCCGTCAGCCTGGTGGGTAGGTGGGGGAGGGACGGCGTTAGCAACAGCGGGACGGCAGGGCAGTGGCCCAGAGACCCACCTGTCCGTCAATGCCTTGCCTGTGGCAGTCAATCTCCAGCATCCCACAGGGTCCCCCGAGCCCCACCAGGAGTGATTCCTGGGCACAGAGACAGGAGTAAGTTCTGAACACTGCCGGTGTGGCCCCAAAACCAAATAACACCCCCCCAAATTCCCAAACAAAAAATCCTCCATGAATGACAAGGTTTTCATAATACAGTAGCTTCAAGCCTGCAGTGTTCTGACCCCAAACCCACCGTGGGAACCACCTTCACTCCACCAACGCTCCCCGTTTCCCTCTCACCCACCGGCCGGCCCTTAGCAGGCACAGAACAAATTCACTTCTTAGTACCTGCTTAAGGGAATGGCAAATGCAATATTAGAAACTAAATCAGTGAAAGTCAAACTTGATGGGGCCGGAGTTATAGGACAGTGGGTCGGGGGTTTTCCTTGCATGTTGCCCACCCAGGTTCGATCCCCAGCATCCCATATCGGCACCTCAAGAATCTCAGGAGTGATTCCTGAGTGCAGAGCCAGGAGTAACCCCTGACCTCTGCTGGGTGTGACCCCCAAAACCAATCAAACAAAAAAAGTCAATTTGTGATGACTGGTTGTTATATGCGAGGAACCCAGCAAGCTACTGAGAGTATCTCGCCCGCACAGCAAAGTCTAGCAAGCTACCCGTGATGTATTCGATATGCCAAACACAGTAACAACAAATCTCACGATGGAGACATTACTGGGCCCGCTCGAGCAAATCGATGAACAACGGGAGGACAGTGCTACAGCGGACAGTGGTTGTTATATGATTTTAACTGATGTAAAGAAATTAAAATCACTTAACATAGTATAAGGCATGTCTTTTTTTTTTTTCTTTTTGGGTCACACCTAGCAATGCACAGGGGTCACTCCTGGCTCATGCACTCAGGAATTACTCCTGGCAGTGGTCGGGGGACCATATGGGATGTTGGGAATCGAACCTGGGTCGGCCACGCACAAGGCAAACGCCTTACCCGCGGTGCTATCATTCCAGCCCTGGAGGTATGATTTTTATTGATACACTGTGACCACGCGTAGACCCATAAACAAGCATGCCCGTTTCTGGGGTATCCTGGACTCGTGGCCTAGAAGGGAACATTTTTCTTCTGCTGGGGCTGGAAAGAGGCTCCGGGGTGGGGCAGGCACTGCTGGACACCCAAGTTCTTCCCCAGCACTGCAGCAAGTGTGGCCCTCCCAAACCAGATGCTAATAGTGATAGTAACATCAACATAAAAGGCGATTGGGCCAGAGCAATAGCACAGTGGGGAGGGCGCTGGCCTTGCATGCGGCCGACCCGGGCTCAGTCCTTGGCATCCCATAGGATCCCCCAAGCACTGCCAGGAGTGATTCCTGAGTGCAGAACCAAGGTAAACCCTGAGTATCGCCAGGTGTGACCCCCAAACACCAAAAATTAAAGACTACAAAAATCAAAAATTAAAGGCTATCTAAAACAACCTTTCTCGTGTGCTGTGGACAGCTCAACGAGCCAGTGCTTGGGCATTTCCAGAAAACCTCTCTGAATTCAGATCCAGAGAGGGCCCAGTTGATGGCCCCCTTGGACATACCAGCCCAGGGTTGGGGGCGAGGTTTCTCTCCTGCTCTCTCTCGGGCACTCTTGGCCGCTACTCCTTTCCCACACTTGGCCGAAGCTTGGAAACCCTGGGCACAGCGACTCCTTCCCTCTCTCCCCGGGGGCTGGCAGCACTGCTGGGCCCCTTCAGCAGCCTCTGATCCAGAAGCTTCCGGCCCCTCCTGACCCCGTGGGCATGCAGTTCCCAGTAGTCCCCAAGGTCAGGATAAACCAGGACTGCCCCGAGCTTCCCTCTCTTGTTCCCAAACTGCCCGTGGGTCGCGGGGAGCGGCCCCCTGGGTGGGACCTGTAGGAGACCCAGGTCCCATCCCTGCACGGTCCACAGAGAGTCTCGGGGGGCTGTGACTCCTCACGCCGAGAGGAGGCCCCCAGAACTCTGAGGGTGGCCCTCCTGCAAAGCCGGCAGGGGCGGGGGTCTGCGCTGTGGGGAGTGGGCCTCCAGGCTCACCTGGTACAGATGACCTCGTCCGAGGACTGCAGGCCAGGCAACTCCCCCAACTGGTTGTCGGCGAGGTTCAGCTTCTGGAGGTTGATGAGGCCCCAGGGGATGACGGAGGGCAGGGAGGACAGGCAGTTGGCGGAGAGGTCCAGCTCGGTGATCTGGCAGGAGAGGTCCAGGAACCAGTCGAGATCCACCCACGGCAGCCTGAGATGGGACCACCTGACACGCAGAGGCTGGTGGGATGGGGGGGAGGAAGCGGGGCGTAGGAGAGCCATGAGCACATGGGGGGACACAGACGGCGCCATCCTGGGGGCGGTCAGACTGACTTCACCTTTTAATTCTTTTATTTTAAATGCAACATTTATTTATTTATTTATTGCTATTTATTCAGCCATTGATTAAGCTGATTGAACTGGGCATAAACTCCACATTACTTTTTTTTTTTTTTTTAAAAAAAGACTTTTTGAATTGGATATTCATGAGATAGACCGTTATAAAGCTGTTCATAACTAGGTCTCAGTCACACAATGGTCCAGCACCCATCCCTCCGCCAGTGTACATTTCCCAGCACCAGTGTCCCCCATTTCCCCACCACCATCTCCCACCCCCCCAGCCCCCACCCCCAGCCTTCCTTTATGGGAGGCACTTTCCTTCTTGCTCTCTCTTTTTCCCTTTGTGCATCATATTTTGCAATACAGGTGCTAAGAGGTCATGGTGTTTGTTCGGTATTTTTCTTGGGATGGGAAGGCTGGAGTAGCTTTTTAATTGGGTGACAGCTCTGGGGTGCGGATGTGTCTGCCGAGGTTTCCGGGAGTACAGGGAAGTGGGGGGAGGTAACCCATCCAGACCCTGAAAAAGCCTGGAGATTTCAGTCACAAAACCCACATACCAAAATGTTAAGCAGATTATGTCGCGGTGAGGTCCAGCCTGAGGTGGTGGAGTCAGGCCAAGGGTACGGGGGCGATTTTGGATTGTGGGAGCAAGTGGCTGCTGGGGGACCTGCTTGGGTGGGCACCAGGCTGACCTTCCACTCTCTGATGTACCCCGGTCTGTTCATGGGTCTGAGATTAACTGGGGCTTCCGATCTCTTTCAAGATTAATTTATGAGTCTCTGAAATAAGCCGATAAATAATTTTTATAGCTGAGCCGGAGGGGGTTTGTGGGTGTGGCTCCCACACACCTAACTTCAGGTTGTTTAATGTTTTGGTAAACTTGGTCCCAAATTGTTGGGGTCTGGCCAAAGGCACGGCAACAATTTTGGGGTATCAGGAAGCCTGAAGGCATCATTAGTGTGCAGATATACTCGCCCTACAGGTACAGGCAGAACTGCTGGTGACATCATACCCCCATATTTTAGCTTAAAAAAAAAAAAGATCAAGTTTGATTATCCCATTATCTGGTCCCTGTATCACACAGGCAATCCGATCCGTGGCCAGTAGAGGGAGCACGTGGGCTTGGTCCATTCCGGGGCGCCGCGGGGGCAGGGGAGGGGGTTACCAGGGAAGAAGCAAACGGCCTCTTTTCCTCCTCTGAGGCGCCCCCCAAGTTTAGAGGAGGTACCCCACACTTGGAAAACGGCTCTACACCCAAACCTGTGACTTCTCACCTTCCTTCTGGGGTTGGAGAGGCTACAGTCAACACAGCCCCTGAACCATGCCATCCCCACCAGATGGGGGCAGCAGTGAGGCTGGCGGAGGCCGGCCTGACCCTGCTGGGACCCCTTGGGGCTGGGGAGAGGGTGTCTGAATGGCTGGAGGTGGCGCTCTACACGCCAGAGCCCTGGTTCCTCATGGGCACCCCAAGCAATGCCCAAAACAACATAAACCAAACCCAACAACCTTCGTCCCGTAAATTACACTGCTCTGTGGTGGACAGCTCACAGGCTGGCCAGCCTGCAGTCACCTGCACGAATCTTTGCCTCTGCTGCCAACCAGACCCACCAGAGCTTCAAACTTGGTCTCCTCCAAACACTTGGGAAACTTCCCTCCTGCACGTGGGTCCACGGCCTCTGAATGCACCTGAATTCCCTTTGACCCACAGTCAAGCCTTGTGGCCCATCCTGGCTCCGTCCCAAGTACCAGGCGCGGTTCCCTGGCAAGCTCTTGCTTTCCTTATTTGGTCAGTGAGCCTCGTTCCCACCCCAAAAGGATGACACAGGCTGGTGCAACACACACAGCAGGAAGGGTCTCTGGTGCTCAAGGCGTTTGGGGCTCAGTTATGTTTGGGACTTGGAGGAGAAAGTAGGGAGCTGGCTGTGGTCAGAGCAACTGGAAATCGTCATCAGGAAAGCAGAGAGGCACGAAGGCAAAGAAACACAAGCGATTCAGCCAGTGGACTTGACCGGTGGGAGAGGATGGAAACAGAGAGAGAGAGTCTTGGAGAATTGGATCTTTGCATCTTTGCTTTCCTTATGCACTTCCTCGACTGGCCACTAGATGGAGACATGATGGAGACACACGTCTCTTGCCCCAGAGGGGCACCTGGGGGGCGGGGGGGGTCTCTGCTCCACTTGTTGCTCCACTAGTGTGGGTTAGAGAATGACGTTTTAGTCTCAGTTGATTTTTTTTTTGCTTTTGGGGTCACGCCTAACAATGCTCAGGGGTTATTCCTGGCTCTGCACTCAGGAATTACTCCCGGAGGTGCTCAGGGGACCATATGGGATGCTGGGAATTGAACTCGGGTCGGCTGCGTACAAGGCAAATGCCCTACCCGCTGTGCTATTGCTCAAGCCCCGTGATTTTTTTTAAACGCCAGGCCTGTTTGGATATTTATTTTGGGGTCACACCCAGCTCAGGGCTGTCTCCTGGCTCTGCTTGGGGGACCTATGGGGTGCCAGGGATGGAACCTGGGTCAGCTGCGAGCAAGGCAAATGCCCTGTCTGCCATCCTGGCACTCTCCGCCACCTCCTGACCCTCGATCATTTGTGTGTTTTTTTTTTCAATGACTTCACCATCACTGTTGAGCCTGATCTAAATAAATCAGGACTGTGGAAACAACCATTACATTCCTGCATCGTTCTGTGCGGGTCTCCTTCCAAACACCATCCCGGGGTCAACACGAATTCATTATCATCCTTTCTTTGCAACAGACAATTTTAATGACTTTCCTCTCTCCAGAAGAGAAAAAGCACCACAACAGAAAATGAGAAGTTCAGGAAATGTTATCACAGTAGAGAAGAAAATGACTTCCATACCAGCTTTCAGAGGGCTCGGCAGACACTGGGGTGTTCCCTTCCAGAGTTTTCTCTACTTAGAATCAGCAGCTTTCACTGTTTTACACAAAGGCCACATTAAACTCAAGATGTTATTTCCTTGTTTCTTTTCTAACATAAGTGTACTGGACAAGGAGGGTGAAGATCTGCTGAGAGTTCTGATGAGGGGGCCAGGTTTGAAACCCAGAACCACCAGCAGTGACCCAGAGCACAGAATCAGGAGTAAGCCCTGAGCACCGATGAGTGTGGGAGGGAGGAAGGAAGAGAAGAAGGATGGAGGGGAGGAAGGATAACGAAGGGAGGAAAAGAAAGGAAGGGAAAGGAAGAAAGGAAGAAGAGAAGGTATGAAGGAAGAGGAAGAAAGGAAGGGAAGGAGAGAAGGAAGAAGAAAAAGGAAGGGAAGAAAGAAGGAGGAAAGTAGGAAAGGAGAAGGAAGGATGAAATGAAGAAGGAAAGAAGGGGGAAGGAGGGGAAGAAGGGAAAGAAAGAAGGAGGGAAGGGCAGGAACAAATGAAGGGAGAAGAAAGAGACCCAGGGGTAAGACCACCCCCTGCCCCCCAGCAGGGTAAATGTGGCAGTAGCAGCAGTGGAAGGTGTTTAAGCACCTGCCCCCGAGGCGCCTGTTGCCAGGTGCTGGGCAGCAGAGAAAGGCAGCCCCCAGCTTCAGCACACAGGTAGGTCACTGTGAAAACAGCGCCAGCCAGCCAGCCACAGGAAACAGCCATTCCTGAGGGGAAAGACACTAATCCATGCCACGCCCCTCTCCCCACCCCAAGGCAGTGACATCCGAAAGGAAAAGGGAACCCAGAAGAGGAAGAACAGAAACGCCCAAACTGGGGACAAAGCGAGGGAGCTGGGGCCGAGCTGAGGGGGTTTCAGGGTCTTGGAAAGAGAATGAGGTCAATGATCAACAGGCGACATCACAAATGTGCCGGGTGGGAGACCCAGTTCCACCCCTGCCACTACAGGGTCCCCCAGGCCTGCTGGCGTGCCAGGTCACCACCAGTCCCCTAGGCCAAGCTGGCTGGAAATCACTGGGAGACCCCCTGAGCACTGCTTGGGAGCTCTCCCCCTTACAATATTAAAAGAAAAGGTAAAGAGAAGCCAAAGTAAACAGTCCAGTGGGGAAGGCGCTGGCCTTGCACAGAAACCCCTCCAGGAGTGACCCCTGAGCACAGAGCCAGGAGTCTGCCTCAAGCACCACCGGGGATGGCTCAAAATACAAAGGTAAAGAGAGGAGGTTTTGTTTGCAGGGGTTACTCCCAGCTTTGTGCTCAGGGTTGCCTCCCAGCAGTACGGGTGTGGTGTGTGCCCGACTGTGCTGGCCACCGGCCAAGTTTCCTCTGTGGCCCTAAGACTTAGTTTCTTTTGTTAGAAACCAGAGCATCTGCTTTTCCCCTTCAAGTCCTTCAAGTCTCTCTGCAAATGGCCAACTTGCTAGAAACTTCAGCTCTAACGGGGAGAGACATGCCCACAGCAGGGATGGGAGAAACCGGAAGCAGCAAGATCCAGAGCATCGTGGGAAGATGTCAAGATACAAAGTATCTGCGGTACAAAGTATCTGCGGTTCCTCTTTGCCTGCTGGGCTGGCAGTTTCCTAATTCCACCCATCAGGGCCGAACCCAGTTTAAGCACAAAGTAACAAAACGCTTGATTAGCACTTTGTCCTGTGGTATACACAAAGTATGTCTGTTTCTTCCAATGTGCCCTGCTTGCTAGAACCGAAACAACAATCTCTGTTGAGCACCTATTTGGGGGTGTGGGGCACACCCATGATGCTGGGACTACTCCTGGCTCTGTGCTTGGGGGCCAGGGGTGACACTCCTGGTGCTGCTGGGGGACAGCCTGGGTCAGCTGCCTCAAGGCTCCGTGCGCCCCCACCCACCGCCCTCAGGCTGCCCTTGTGCCAGTTCCTTTTGCATCTTCAGGATCACGATCATCCTGTTGTTCGTCGATTGCTTCCAGCAGGCCCCAGTAACGCCTCCTTAGTCCTAGCCCAGAGATTTTAAAAAGTGCCATATT